GCGTTTTAATGTGTGCCAACGAGAACTCTGGACTCCCAAGGGAGTGGATTGTGATATCGTGCGTGCCAACGAGGACTTTGGACTCCCAAGGGAGTGGATTGTGAGATCCCACATCGGTGTCAACGAGGACTCTGGACTCCCAAGGAGGTGGATGGTTTGTGAGATCCCACATTAGTTGGAGAGGGAGACGAAGTATCCCTTGTAAGAGTGTGGAAACTTCTCTTACCTTGAGCGAAACTCAAACGGGAAAGTCCAAAAAGAGCAATATGTGTTAGCTAGTATAGATAGTAACTTTTAATTGTTTTAACTCTTTCCTAGTCATTTTATCCTCATGATCCTTCTCATTTGGGTATGGTATCGGTTCATTCGTGGACCACTCATTTACTCAAATGTCACAACTTGCATATGTCAACTAAGCATGACTCAATAGCTTATACACATTATCAACTACGATATTAAAAATTCAAATCTAAACGACGTATATATATATACCCTAGCAAGTTTTATGGTGGTAGAGGTACAATCTCTTTCCAAGTTAAAAGATACATCAAAACCAAGAAACACATGACATAAACATACAAACACACAACAAAACGAAAGTAACATAACACATCCAATTCTTGGGTCAATTTTGATCGATTTTATTCGTTGAAGAGATAGATTTTTGTCCTCTGACAAATTACGTAACGTTTTGCTTTTCGTTTGTATATATTTGGGTATTGTATTTTACGTATGGAATTATTGGTGGTGGTTCTGTTCATGCATTGAAAAGCTCACCCAAATTCTACGTACATACAAAAGAAATAAAAGGTCAAAATCAGAGACAATAAGAAACAACACAAGCAGAGTGAACCTCATTTATTTGCACACCACAACATTCATACACATAGTATCCATGATTTAACACAACTCACTGCTCCCATTTAATGCCCACAACCTCAACATGTGTTACCTCAATGTTCTCTTTACTATTTACCTTAATATGTGTACTATTTTGAGGTTGGAAAGATTCTTGTCTTTCTCGTTTGTTGAGTCTCTGAGATTCTTTTGATGATTGATGTTGTGTTGAAGGAATATCTATATGGTTCGATTGATTGTGTAAAGCGCGTAATAGCAATGGAACTAGAGAAAGTATATTGAAAAGGGTACTTCTTTCCTATTCTATTAATATTAGATTAGTATTAGTTAGTGATCTTGGCTAGGTGAGTCATTTCTTCCGTGATGAACTATTGGCACCATTTTATCTCTATGAATCGAGAAAGAAGCGATGAGTTTTGGATTTTAATTTGAAACATCTTTGGTTAAATTCTCTTCAACTACACCAAGTTCTAGAATAACACTAATATAGGTGTGAATTGAGTTGCTATCACATGCATATGATGACTCTCTAAATTTTTGAAACGATAAATATGTGGAGTTTATGAATTCTAAGTGAAAATGTAGAAAAGATGCTCAATTTAAATTTGAGATCTCGAAGAAAACATGCTCAAAATCTACGGAAAATCATGCATCAAACATTGTCAACCACTTTGGATCCCTTTATGCTTATTTATAGGAAAAATGTTAGGGAACCACTCAATATTTGCAACCTACATAGTAAGTGACATCATTATTGGAGTCAAAAAATGGAGACTCAAGTAGATTGAATTATAACCTTGCTATACCTAAAATCCATGAAGCTCATACCACTTTTGTAATTTTTGAACTTTATTGATACGAACCACTTTCATACTTAATTAACCTTAAGCTCTAGTTCTTTTAGGCTCAAAAATTAATATTACTTTCATATACATAGTTCCATGTGCATCACTTTCATGTACCAAAAATCCACTAAGCTCATACCACTTTTGTGCTCTTTAGGCCTGGTTGGGTATGAATCACTTTCATGTGCATCTACCATACACTAAATACTAAATGCAAGCAAAAACTCCAAAAGAGTCATGGAAGGACCATAAAATGAATATAATATTTTCATACATTTACGCCATCGAGTCTCATAAATTGAAAATAAAACATGATTTAATATCATAAACATTTTTCTTCTACAAATCTTTCAGGTAGTCCATATGGCTAGCATAATACGTTATTCGTAAATCATATCTAACATTTAGACAAAATGGACATTATAACATGACATTTATCGTAAGCATAATGTCAAAGGATCAAGCAAAAACATCATATATCATGCAATTCACAATTCATCCAACCTATTATATAAGGTCCATCATTAAGTTCATTTACTTAGATCGTGGGAATTAGCTCTAAACTCGTTCTAGGGTTATTTGACTCCTTAAGGATATGTATAGTTACTCATAAATGTCTTGAAATACACATAATTACTCCTATTTAGATGTACTTAAAAGTGCCCTTAAATCAAGCTAATTCTGAAGAACACACTCTAAAGCGGTCTAATTAGTGTTGAATCGGTCAATATAGAGGTTGAACCGGTAATTATGGCTGAATCGGTCAGACCAGAAGTTGAACCGATCAAAGTCAGGGTAAGTAGGCGAACTGGGCGAGAATCGGTCATGATCGGGTCGAACCGACTCAAACCAAGCGTTACCGGACGAATCAGGCGCGAACCGATCAAATAACAGTGGGCTGGCGCGAATGGGCTTGGGGCATGCGGTCTTGGTTTGGGGCGTGCAGATTTGGGCTGACACGTCAACTGGTCAGGTGGGACGGCAGTTGCTGGATCGCATGCTTGGGTTTGGGTCTTATCGAATGTGGGCCAGGTCTCCTTCTTCGTTGTAGTTGCTAGTCGTTCCTCTTCCTAGGGACTCACACATAGACCGGCGGTAATGACTAAGTTGATTGGCATCGCGATGGTGGCAACGAACGACGGGGTGTTGGCAATGGTTTGTGGCGGAGTTGTGTTAGGGGAGAGGGTGAGAAAGAGAGAGGGCGAGGGAGAGAGAAAACGAACGCAGGTGGCTTTGTACAACAACAGCGGCGGTGACAGTGGCCTGACGTTTGTCTTCAGTGGTGCGGGCGACCCGAGAACGAGGAAGAGGGAAAAGAGGATGTTGGAAATGCGGATGAAACAAATAACCGAAGAGTATTGCCTCCAATCGAAATAGGTATCAATTAACTGCTTAATATTTCTAATTCATCTCTTCCGCTTTCGAATAAAAAACTAATAAATCTTTATCTTAAAATCGTAAATAACTTATTTGGATAAGTGAAGCTTATTAACTCACGTTCTTCTTCACTTTTTTACTGACACGGTTAATAGATATTTTTTTGAAGATGTTGATAGTTTTTCAACCGTATATGCAATTTTGGGACTATTTTACCTTCATCAATAGAGCTTCATTTCAGTTGTATATCTTGAGAAACCGACTGACTATCTTCACTTTGCTACCTTCTTTTCTATCATTTGATAAAGGCTAATAATATTGCTCTTCAAATTCGGGATGTAATACACCTTGGTCATCACCATTCTTGCATTGGAACAAGATAGATTATTTTCCTTGGATTGGTACAATTGATCCGTCGTAAACCCTCAAGTTTCCAGTGAACTTCTCATCAAGTTCCTTGAACTTTGTTCGATGTCTGATCATGTGATTGTTCACTCCGTTGTCTAGGTATCATGGTCTCCACTTGGTATTCTCCATCTATGGAGGGGTTCGCCATAACCTTTTCTTCATTGAGCATCAACAGGTTGGCATTTTCTCGGCCAACATCAATGTGGGTTCTTCATCATTCGTGAACATGAAGTTTGTCTCCTCATCGCTCCTTGTTGCAGCACTCTGCTGCATAAAATGTCAGTATTTTACACAAGAGTAACATTTGATCATACTCTTGTCCTTCCGAGGGTTGACATTTTCATGGGTTTGTAAGGTAATGTCACGACCTCCTCTGCCACCACGTTCGCGGTCACGTCCACGACCTCCTTTTTCTTTGTTATGGCTGCCACGTCTGCTCCAACCTGAAAAAGAAGAGTCATCTCCATCTTTCTATTCCGTCCGTCCGAGCCACTCCTCGTGTGTGAGTAAGAGATATTTCTCCTTTTATTTGTCTTCGTAGCCACGAAGTCTCTCTTCATGGACTTTAAGACAACCAACAATCTCTTCAACCGTCATGTTCTTGAGGTCGCCGAATTGCTCGATGGAGGCAACAATTTGCATGAATCTTGAGGGAACTGCTCAAAGGAACTTCTTGACGACGGAGATCTCCTCTACAACGTCGTCTAATGAACGGATGCCGTTGACAATTGTCGTCAACTTCATGGCAAAGTTGTCTATTCACTCACCGTCCTTCATGCGGATAGCCTCGAACTCACTCTTCAAGGTCTGCACGTTTGCTTCCTTGACACGTTCCACCCCCACATATATTGTTTGCAGCGTCTTCCACGCTGTCTTTATTGAGTCCTTCTCTGCCAACAAGACAAGAACGTCCTTTAGGATTGCTTGAAAGATGGCAGCAAGAGTCATCCTGTCCTTACGCTCCTCAACATCACCATGCTTGATGGCGTCCCACACGCCCTGTATCTATAAGTTAGCATGCATTTTTATCGATCATGCTGCATAGTTACTCTTCATTAGTAACAGGTACGAGAGCGTTACACTCTCCCTCCATTTCGCTCCTTATCGTTGCTACATCCCTTCCGACAACTGTGTGTGGTGACGGCATTTGTTTCGACATCCTAGCTCTGATACCAAACTTTGGAAATTGTCCACGATTGAAATATGTTGGAAACAAATGAATGAGAACAACAACTTGAGAGAGGAGAAAACTTTTGAATAGAGCAACCTTTTTAACACCTATGTTTTTTTTTTTATTATTATTATTTTTGTTTTGTTATATAAATACCCTCCACCTGGTAAGTATTTACAGTAGAGATGGCATAATAAATACAATAATAATTAAAAAAAAAAAAAGAAGAAAATGGGTAAATAAGTTAAGATACAAAGGATTTGTTTAGTAAATTTTTGATGGGAGACTTGACTGCCTCTGGGTATAAATAAAGAAGTAAATGAATAAATAATCCCTCTCTTTTTTCACTCACTTTTCTCATCTTTTCCTTTTCGTCTCTCTCCTTCTCAGTTTCTCTCTCATCCGTCAAAACCCTAAAGTGTGGTTTACACCCATCCCAGTAAGTTTTCTCTCCCTGTCTTTGTCTCCTCTCTCTTCCTCCCTCTCTTTCTCTCTCCCTCTCCCCCTCTCTCTCTGGGGTCCTTTGTGTGCTCTTTGCCCATCACTGACATTCTCATATAAATATTGCTATTTTCCCCATTTGTTCTTTATTCTTCTTCTACATCCTGTTTTATTTTTTTATTCTTTTTCACTTCCGATGAACTCTGATTTAGGACGCCTTATTCCATTGTGTTTTCTAATCCCTGATTTTGGTTTGTGTAATCCTATCATCACAATTTTGGATCTCTAATTTCGCTTCTTTCTAGGGTTTATGGCGGAAATCTTTATGTTTGCCCTTGATTTGTTTTTTCTTTTTGCGATGTATGTATTGGAGAGGGACTTTAATTAGATAGAAACCCCCCAATCTTTTGTTTGTTGGTGGGGTACTGGAATTTCCTATTTCGGACCTTTGAATCGAAAGTGTGGTGTTATATCCACCCATTTTGGCTATCCAGATCTTGTTGGAATTAATATATAATGCTCACTGTTGTGTTTGATGATTACTTCCGTGTTTTTTAGGTGCTTTGCAGGGCTGCTGACCAGTTTTTTAATTCCTGGGAATATCGAAGTTATGCTATTTTTATGATATTCACTTTCTACCCCTCATTTTCTATTTTCTTTTTATTTCTTGGGTGATTCAAGTTGATGCCCCTGTTCTTTTTTTTTTTTTTTTTTTAAGGTTTCTCTTGGTCTCATATGCTATGGTTGATATGTTTTGGACATGGGAGTTTCTCGAGTCTTAAGTGTAATTAATCTCTGCTTATTGTGTTGCCTCTGTAGTTCCAATGGATGGTGATGCGTTGAACATGCGTAATTGGGGTTACTATGAACCATCCTTGAAACCGCCGCTCGGTCTGCAGCTCATATCCACAATTGCTGAGCGAGGTGTGAAGCATTTTCTTCCTGGACGCGACCCTTCTGCTATTGTTAACATTAATGGAGCATTTCATTCACGGGAGTCTGTTGTTTCTGAAGCATCAGTACCAACAAACTGGGCGAGGGATGGTTGGATGAATCATCAAAGTGACAAGTTTTTCAATATGTTACCTCCCAATACAAGTTATTCTCTGCTTGCACAAACTTCAGCCCCGCAACCTTTGCCAATTTTACAGCCACACGACACGTCAAGGGATGAAATGGTCCTTAGGATTGAAGAACCATCTGTGAAGAAGGGAGCTAAACAATCGAAGAAACGACAGAATGGAGGTGCTCCCAAAACCCCAAATCCAAAGAAGCCTCGAAAACCCAAGAATAATGATCCTTCAGTTCAACAGGTGAAGGCACCAAAAAAGAAGCTGGACCTTGTTATAAATGGGTTTAATATGGATATATCAAGTATCCCAATTCCTGTATGCTCTTGCACTGGAACTCCTCACCAGTGTTATAGATGGGGATATGGTGGCTGGCAATCAGCTTGTTGTACCACAAGTTTATCTGTTCATCCTTTGCCCATGAGTGAGAAGCGGCGAGGTGCAAGAATTGCTGGTCGAAAAATGAGTCAAGGTGCTTTTAAGAAGGTCTTGGAGAAACTAGCAGCTGAAGGCTATAACTTCTCTAACCCAATTGATTTAAGAAGCCATTGGGCAAGGCATGGGACCAACAAGTTTGTCACTATCAGGTAGATTAGCAAGGTATGATGGTAGAGTGCTGAGTCTGTTTTACATGTATATATCTGTGGCCTTTTGCAGCAATCTTGGAGTGTCTTTAGCTGGTAAGTTTTGCTCTTGATAGTTTATGGCTTCATGAACTTGGGAAATTTCCATCCTCTTCAATCCTGATTCGCTTTGTAGTAGTAGTTCGTGATTTATTGGATTGTTTTTTAATGTTTTTTTCTTTCTTTCAATCGTTGTCTTGGATCAGTTATCTAATTATCATTTAACCTTTTCATTCCCGAGTACTTCAAATTTGAATAAAGAATAACAACAATGTATTAATTTGAGTCTCTTTTTTGTTCATGAATTAGATTATCTGAGAAGATTATTTAGAATTTGGCAGGTTTATATTGTTGTCATGCAATACATATTAGAAGTTGAAACATGAATGCTGGATCTGATGCATGGTCGCCATGACATTGTATAACTCTTTTCTGGAATTTGTTCTAGTTTGTTATGAAATCCTGCAATATTTTATCATCAGGGCTATCTTAATCTCAAATTGAGTCTCTTTATTGTTCATGCATTGGGTAGATGTGAGATTTTTTGGAAACTGCCTGAACATTGTTGTAAAATGTAGAGTTGATCGATTACTGGAGGATTAGAGGAGAGTTCACAAAGTAAATGGTTACTTGTTTTGTGGAAAAATTAAAGGGTTATGCACAGTGGTTAGAATACTCTGTTATGTGCATATGGTTTCTGGTAGGTATTCTGAATCTCTCTCAAATCAACCATGGTGAGTTTGTAAAGGAGCAAGACGTCCTGTTATGCTAAAATAGTTTGGAAGGACAGTGCTGGAATGACTTTCAAGTGAAAACATCTTGAAGACAGAGCATGATTCTACAAACTAAAGTTTGTGTACAACTTTTGTTAATTATTAGAGAAGCTCTGGTTAGTAGGATCATGGTCCGAGTTTGAGTCTGAATATGAATGCTAGTTCTTATTATTTATATGTTATGATATCAATTCCTTGCGTGCATTTAAACGTCTTAGTAGCTAGAGGAAAAGAAAGCAAAAGTGATTCTTGTAGTAGCGGCGAGCAAAATGGGAGTAGTCTAAACGGTGAAAAGGGGGTTGTCCGTTGGTTAAGAAATGATACGAGCACACCAAGATATTATTTCTAAATGAAAGGGAGGGTGTTGAAGAAGATGGGATGTATGAATTATTATTGCATCACTGTGACACCAACATTACAAAATGAAAGGTCAAAATCAATGTTTAGACCCTAAATTGTTCTAATTCAAACAATCCAATCACATAATAACAAAAGGTGGATATTTAAAGCTATACCAATTAATATCAAAGCATTACTTCATTAGATATGTCATACTTTGTCAATAATTGTCTCCATAATATTCACTCTAAAATTATTTCAATTATAGACTACAATATAAATTTAGTTTAAACTTTTAATTTGTATATATTTGGTTCATGAACATTTAAAATTATAAATTTAGGTCGAGAAATTTGATATTTTTAAAAAAGATTTAAAATTTAAAGATTTATTACACTTGTAATTTAGTAGATAATATATATATATAGATAGGCTTAAAAGTGAAAGAGAAAAAGAAGAAGAGGGGCATGAAATGAGAATAAAAATAATAAAGATGGGGTTGTCTCATGTGCAAAATTTCCTCTACTTCCAAACATGACAACATGGTAGATAGCCCTTTGTTTTTGTTTTTCTCTTTTTTTTTTTTTTTTTTTTTTTTTTTTTTTTTTTTTTTTTTTTTTT